TTGTAATTTTGGTTCTAGAACTTAGTTATTTTTTCCATCAGTTTTGACTAATTGAACTTGTCGTTCTAACATAAATTCTGCAATCAGTCAGTCGAAAGATTGGCTGCCACGATAATGGAAGTAGGTAGATAAGGCTCGGAGACGTTTTTTGGATTTGTAGCCAGTGAGAGTAGCATATGCACACTCCAGTTTTCATTACTGTTAGCGAACTTTATGCGATATCTACAAGTGGTATACAGTAATTTATTAGAAACCATATAATCTACAGATGGCTTAAAGATACCTTGGCTACTGAATTAACGATGCAGTGATAAACTTTGTCTAAGTTTTGAGTGTTAAGTACTTTAGCGAAAAGTCTACAACGACTTGGGGAAGGGTGTATTGGACAATGCGTGGAATGGTTACAACTGTTGCTTGTTTGCATATGGCCAAACTGGGAGTGGCAAAAGTTATTCTATGGTTGGCTACAAAAATAATAAAGGTAAATCGTCTAATTTTTATTTTGGTCTAAAAATACTATTTTTTTATATTAAGGAAGGTAACAGCTTTTTCAATTATGATTGCTTATCAGGTGTGGCGTTAAATGTAAATTTTTCAGAAACCTAAAAAATTTGCTTCTTAAGCAGAACAGTTTTTGTTTTAAGATTCATATTGAAAAATAATTCCTTTTTTTTCAATTTGCAGAGTTCTTTAACTCTTTGAGCTGAACAGCGTCTAAACTAAAAAATTTAAGTAAGGACATATAACTGAGTTAAGGCATTATTCCAATTGTCTGCGAAGAACTGTTCAAACAGATTGAAGAAAAACGGCCAAGCAACGCTGATACGGAATACCAGGTTTGTTACATTTACTCAGCAGCATTTCTTAAAGTCTGCCAGGCATTAGATAGTTCTGAATTCACTTTACAATGAGAATGAAAATAGAAATTTTAGGTTACGATATCAATGTACGAAATATATTGCGAGAAAGTACGCGATTTACTTGCATCTGGTGAAGAGAAAAAAGGGGGCCTAAAAATTAGAGAGCATCCAAAACATGGATTTTATGGTAAACTTTTTACTAAGGTTGAGGAAAATCTTAATCGAAGGCTGTGGAAAAAAAAGCTAAGTTTACATTGAAATTATTATCATTATTATCTAGAATTATTATTAAATTTTTTTTTTAGTGGAAGGATTAGAAAGTGTTCCAGTAAACTCGTATAAAGAAATTGAGAAAAAAATGGACGAAGGAACTAAACAACGAACCATTGCTGCAACTAATATGAATGCTACCAGCAGTAGGTAGATGCTTTGCTTCTGTTTTTTGTTAACAATGATCGCAGTAATCCCGATCCGTGAGTTTAGTTTTTATGTTTTAAAAAACTGAAATTCGTGCACTGAAAAACTAAACTGAAAAGTCTAGAGCGCATACGATTGTGAAGATACAATTTACTCAAAAAATTGGTAAAAAAGGTAGCGCCGGTACGACAACAAAAACTTCACAAATAAATTTAGTGGATTTGGCTGGCAGGTAAAATCCATTTTTTTTTTATTTAAAAGGTTATAAAAGTGCTGAATAGACAATGGAAGATCTTTATAACCATATGATGGAAAAAAAACCGTTTCTGGTCGTATAAGTACTTGTTCCTCAGTGAGCGTCAAAAAAGCGCTGGATCAGAAGGTGATCGTTTGAAAGAAGGCATAGTTATTAATCAGTCTTTGTCAACACTTGGTCGTGTCATTAAAGCGCTTCATGAACAGCAAACTAGCAAAAAGAAAAAGAATATGCAAGTATGTGTACGAATAATTCCTTTTTTTAGTTGTTTTAAATTCTTCAGCTAGATTTTGGCTGTACAAATAAAAATTTTCTGCCAAACTTATCACTGAGTGCTGTTAGCACCGCAAAGTTTTGACGAACATTTGAAGTTTTGAGGCTTTGCAGAGTGAACTTCACATAGATTTTATTTTTGTACGACTTCTGAGAACTGAAAAACACAAAGTATTGTTCGAGCTGTCTCAAATTTCAAGTTTTTAGGACTTGAAAACAATTGAAAATTTATTTGAAGTCTCTTAGCCTTCATTTGTATATTTGCACCTTTACAATAAATAAAAAATTATTTCCAGATTCCCTACCGAGACTCAGTATTGACATCGTTGCTTAAAAATGCTCTTGGTGGAAACAGCAAAACAATTATGGTTTGTTCTGCACAGGACTAAAGTACATTCAAAACTACGTCAGCCACTGCTTATTATTATTTAGATTGCTGCTCTTTCACCAGCAGATTTGAACTACGAAGAAACTTTATCGACGTTACGGTTTGCCGATCGTACGAAGTCCATCAAGACAAATGCTGTTGTCAACGAATCTGCAACAGAACGGATGATAAGAGAGTTGAAGGAAGAAAACGCTCGTTTACAGCAAATGATACAAGGCGGCGGTACTAGCGGGGGAGGAGGATCTCAGGTTGACCATTTTTGATGCAATTATTGCTTTAGAGAGCAAATTGTTAACAACGTTTGTTGGCTACAAAATTTGACAAGAAATTTCCTATTATATGGCAAAATTTAAATTATTTGTAACGAGTCGCTATTAGGTTCTTGATATAATATTGGTTAATGGAAGAGATACCTTTATCAGCATTAATTTTCAATGTTTAAGGATGAAATTGAGTCACTTAGGAAGCAACTGGAAGAAAATCAAAAGGAAATGGCAGCTTTGGAAGAGAGTTGGCAGCAGAGGCTTGAAGCAGAAAGACAAAAAGTCAGTTCTACAACCTATGTAGAATAGTTTGAGGATATAGATAAACTACAGTTTCTTGATGAACATATTCTGTTACTACTTTTAATTCCACTCCCCCTATTTGGTCTGGTGCCAAAAGGGATTTCTTGAGGAGCACCAAAATAACCTGGATTTCTCTGAATGTATGTACCACATTTGGTGTGGTAATTCTGATAACTGGGTAAGGAGAGGAAGTAGAAAGCGTAAGGCATTTTCGCAGTCAACCAGTTTGAAGCGCTTATCTTTTTGGTATAATTTTTTTGTTTTGAGGAAGGCGGTAAGGATGAGCGCAGTCAGATCGCTGAAAGACGGACTAAAGATTCACACTTTTATAATCTCAATGAAGATCCTGCTCTTACTGATATGATAGTGCATTTTGTTGACAAGGGGACAACTACAGTTGGTAAATTATTTTTAGGGAGCGAAATATAAGTTCCATAATTTATCATCTTTTCCTTATTTCGTCTATTTAGCAACAATTCAGGAAATAAGGATGCTGATCCTCCTGCGAATATACAGTTGAATGGTCTTAGTATAAAACAGGAACACGCAGTTTTGAAGAACAATGATAACAAAAAAGTAACCCTTACTCCTCTAGAAGGTGCTAAGATATTGGTCAATGGGAAGACAATCAATGAAGAGACTCAGCTGAAAACAAACGATCGGTAGGCCTTTGCTGGAGCAGAAAGATTTTTACGTGCTGCTACACCAGTTTTTTCTGTTTTTTATGTGATACATTTATAGGGTTTTGTTTGGTGGAAATCACTTATATGTATTTGTGAATCCAAAGTCCAAACCTAAAAAGGATGAAAAAATAACGTACGAAATGGCACAACAAGAAATTGCTGAAAATTCGTTACTGTCTGCCGGATCAGATAAGAAATCAACAGGTTTTCTGAATTTATCTCTGGTTTTTACGAAAGTAATTAGTTAGTGTTGCACCTCATTGAATTCGCCAGGTTGCTTCTTGAATGTAGTCAAAATTTTTAGCTGATTTAATACTTGAAGAAGACATGATTCAAATAATGCCAAACGTTATACGCGCAAACTCAATCAGTCAAGAACTGAAGAGGAATGTGCGTTTTGAGATTGTTCTTTTGGCTCCGGAAGCTAGAGGATTGGGAGAAGGTCTTACAGAAGTAAGAGTAGTTTCACTTTTTTTGTTTTTTAAGCAATAAATTTAAAGCACTGATGACAGTTTTTGTTATTCTTTTTTACAGTCCCATATATTTTGATGGCGTTTTAAGTTGGATTATCTGAAAAGGCATTAAATTTTCAATTGTGATCTTCTGACTTTGGGGAGAAGCTTTTGTTTATAACTGCTGAGCAAACTCGGAGGTTTTAACCGTCTAATTGTACGAATTCCTTGAATAGATATGGATCAAAGTTCACGATGATAATGAAGAAACGTACGTGCTCTGGGATAAGAATCGGTTTTTAAATCGTTATTACGGGATGGAGGAAATGTATCAAAACTTTCTAGACGGTGATACTGAATGGGAACTTTCCAAGGTTAATTTCTATATAGTTTTATAAGCGGCTCTCTAAACTCAAAACACATCATTCTGAATGGTGAGCAATTGGGGTTTTTTTAAAAAACACTTGTGACTTAGAAGTTTTTCTAGAGGTATTTTTAGCTATACCTTTTTTTTAAAGGACCGTGATCCATTCTATGAATCTCCAAACACTGAGTTTCCGATCGCTTCGGCTACAGTGTTTTTAAAGAGTTTGGCGTTCATGATCGAGTATGAACATGACGAAGATATACGAGATTTTCATGGAGAGGTGCTAGGAATGCTTTCGGTGGCATTATCTCCTTGCTCCAGCAGTGGGAAGGAGATTATTGGCGAATTTCTGGAAAATCCTTATGAAATGGTATCTCTTAATAGTTTTCCTGCTAGTTTGAGAGCCGTTAATGTTATTAATATTTACCAAGTTCTTATATTTTTATTTATGATATTCACTCTTAATACTACGGTGATGGCTCTTTTCGTTGTTTTTCGTTTTTACTACAGCTACTTCTCAGATATAATCTACAATAAAAGTCAATTAAAACACCTTAATGTGCACATACATAAGTTGCATTCTTTGAGTCGTAACTGCAGAATATGGGTGTCATAGCAGTTGAAAGCCTCTGATAAACACTTAGTTCCTTCTCTTTTCAGGTGCTTTAGAAAATAAGTAATTTTTACTGATTCAGGTCGGAAAGAATGTCAGTTTTAAAATTAAAATCAAAGGATGTACTGGACTTCCTCAAAGCGTTGAGAAGGTATACAAAAAGACAATTGCTGATTTTTTTTATCTCTCTATATGCGATGTAAAAACCAAGCTATCTGATTCATACGCGAGCGTAATGAACAAACTGATTTTTAAGATATAGAACCTTTAAAGAAACTATGACTCTGAGGAATGTGAGATAAATAATCTTTTCTTCAGTCGCGATGCAAGTACCAGTTTTTCAACCAGGGTGAAACCGAGACACAGTTAGTTAGTGGAAGGAGTCCAGAATACAACCATGAAGCAGTTTTCTCCTTCCGTCCAGTCTCAAATAAGGTTTAACGGTCTTAATCTAAATCTATGAACAAAAGCATTCCTATCGGAGGGTAAAAACTGGCAGAAGAAAATCCCCTGTTGTCTTTGAAACGCTTACGTGTAATGAGTTTTTATTTAGCTGTTTAAAATCAAACCCATTATAAGATTGGGGGCCTCTACGGCAATCAACTGTGTTTCCACAAGTTGGTTTAGAAGTTCTCTCTTGTTCGACCATTACCAGTACCGATAAAGCCATGAGGATTATACCAAATGTGCACTTGAAAAACGGGCTTTTTTTCAGCTAATTGACTTCCTTCAAAACGGTTCTTTGTACGTTATGATTTGGGGTACGCAAAAACAACGAAAAGGGCCACATCGACCTGAGGCTCCAACACCGGAACAAAGTCGCCGTCATCATAAAAGCTCCACCAGTAATGGGAAGCAGGTTGAAGTGTTTCAGCGAGAGAAAGAAATAACTTACACACCTCTCGAGAAGGTGAGGAGGGTCAAAAAAGTGTTTTAAACTTTGAAGTGGTCTTTTTGATGAACAGGTGGTTTTCAGCAAAAAATTATCGTTTTTACGTCAATCTGGCCAAAACTAGAAACCCTAAATGTTTTATCCATAACATGTTAGTAATAACCCGTCAATTTGGTTTTTTTTAACAACTCCGAGTTCATCAGGATCTTTGAGTTTGAAAATTTAGCAAGAAAGAGATTTTATTAATATAGTTCTCATAAGTTGCTAATGAAATTTGCAGGGGAAGGAAAAAAATCTAAAAAGTTCGGCCTCTAGTACCATCAGTAAAGCAATTTGGGAAAAACAGGCGCAGAAAATAATGAACGGAAAGGGAGGATCGTCTGGAACAACATCTCGCACAGAAAACGGGGCCACTGCAGCTTCACGCAAGCCTAAATCTCGAAAAGCACAGAACAGAATGAAGTCGCGAACACCTCATGATGAAGTCAATTCTCGAACTTCTCACAATGGTATGAACTCTCGAAATTCTCATAGCAAAATTCATTCTTCGACGCCACATAGCGAAATGAACTCTCAGACACCTCAAAGCGAAGCGAAATCCGGCAAGAGCTCTCGGTATCTTTTCTTTCGATTAACTTCTTAAAGTAATATTTATATTTTTGGCAGTAATGCTTTACAGTTGCTAATCATGATCTTTTGACGGAAATTTTCAAATTTTAGATACAGGTCTCATTGCTTATAAATTGTGTTTTTGAAAATCTCATCATTGCTGCAAGTTACACTAACATGTGTAGAGATTCTGCAGAAATACGAGTCGTAAACGACGAGAATCTGGAAAATCTCAGGAGCCTAAGGCTAAAGTAAGTGAAAAGAATACTGTTCACTCAACTCCAACTGGGAAGAAGAAGAACGACGAAAAGAAGAAAACAAAGCATAACAGAAGTAAATCAAGAGCTAACCGTAAAACTGCTTGATCTGTTTACAGTTTATAAGTCTTAAAGGAAAAAGACGAATAGACTTTAAATATTGACTATTTTTACAGTTTTTTTGAAAGGCACATTAACAATCATTACATCATTTAATTTAAAGGTTTTTCTAATGAGAAAATGAAAAATTTTTACGCTTGAAACTTATTTTACAATACAATATGTACTTCTTTGTCTGAAGGCATAGCAAGCTGTGCAAAATTTTTGACCGTTTTAAAAAAATAGATTTTTGTGGGGATTCTAAATTATGGCAGACAGATCTTTGAATCTGCTGAGATATATGCTTGCAGTCGTTCAATAATTGTTTACTATCAGATTTTATTGCTTATTGAGATCTATTTGTAAGTTATAAGTATATGCATTTTAAATGATGTCATTGTTGGGTCATTATAATATGTATATAAAAAATAAAAAATATTTTATTTAAGTGTATGAAGAGTTTTAATCACCATCGTATTCAACCGACGATTTGTTTTTTTATATAGAGGAACACATTTCTAATTTAGTGGGAAAATATGTGTCGCGCAGGGACCAGAATAATATTGACGCGGCCGGCTGGCATTCTGAGCAAGTGTTGATCCAGGTTTATATTAGGGCTTTTTTAAGGGTCTTACTGGGAGATTTTAGTAATTTTGATTTCTCTCTATTCGTCAAATTTCTGTCAACAAGTTGCTTGTTAAAATCTGCTGAAATTTAATTTTTTTGCTGAGTTATTAGCCGAAATGTTTTATTGTGTTCAATTTTTTGGTTTATTGGTTTAGTCACTTTACGAGTAAATATAACTTTTTTTTGTCCATCTTTCAACAACTTTTTCGTTTTTGCGTTCTGTCAGGTGTTTGCTTCAAATTGTGAAAATGAATTTATTCTACCTAAAACAAAGGCAAAGTTTGAGCGCCAAACAACGCTGCTTAAAAGCTTATTCATAAGCTCTTCAGAGTGAGCACAGATAGATCGGTGGCCGTCTGATCTAGGACCGCCACAACAGTACTGGAGGGAGTAAACCTTGAGTGTGAAAATGGGAAACACACAACATTCGTAATCAGTTAGTTAAACATAGAATATATTTCTACTTTTTCTCTCGTCACTGCCACTTTTAGTTTAGTATTCATTATTTTTTACTAGTATTTTTTAAAGTTTTTTTAGCTATTAAGCTAATGTATTTTTTATTCCTGCCACTTCATGACCGCCTTTCTCGACTACCTGTAATTCATTTTTTCTCTTTTTTACATTTTCTCAAAGTACTTTGAATGTAGATTACAGTAAACAGAAAAAAAAACCATGTTACGTGTACATTTAATAAAGTTGCTGCAGTAAAACTGTTAAAAAGTATGAGTGATAAATTGGAATTACTCTTATATTTTGGCTAAAATCTCGGCTGAAAATGGAAGTTTAAACATAAAATCTCAAACAGAAACAGATAAAACCTTAACAAACAAAATACAATAGCTGCGACATCATCTACTCAAGTTACTTAGAAGTATAGCATACTTTTACGGAGATAACCTGGATAATCCTCAGATGTTTCCGCATTACACAGCGGCTTTGCACCAAAGCCAGTGGAATTTAGGCACAATGAACAATATTTTGCCACCAAAAAATTTCATGCGAAATCGGAAATGAATTGCCTTATAAACTTTGTCGACAATAAACGAAACAAGAAATGGAGGTACAGTAACAAAATAGTAACACAACGTATCTGTTGCTTCCTTCTTCTCAGTATTCTACCGGAACGTTGACTGTTTCATTTGCTCATTTTTTTGTTATTACTTTTCTTCTTTTACAACCTTTGACTTCTTCTTTTAACTTTTTCCTCCTAATTTTGCTACTGTCACTACCGGGACTATGTTTTAGTGTGTCTTATTCATTCAAGTTTTTTCTTTTACTAAAAACAAATCGCTATAGGCTTATTGCCACTGACAAAGATCCCAATGTTTTCTCTGCTAAAAAGCGAGAAAAAAAAGGCAAAAGAAATGAGAAACTAATTTGCTGACAATTCCCTTTGAAGATCTAAAAAATCAAAGGTTACAACAAAGTCTTCTGATGCACTGGTTGATCGTTTTCATAAAAACAAAAAAAAAAATTGAAATATAATGTAATTTGAAAGTTCTTCTTCTTCTTCAAAAAAAAAAAGAACTGAGAAATTGAAGGAACACTAAAAACTGGAAAAAAGAAAGTGTGACGACGAGTAATGTTTTCTGTTGTTTCAGTTTCATTTATGTTTAAGTACTTCAGTTGAATGTTTAGCCAGAAAGAAAAAGACAAGAAACTTTCTGAATCTTTTCTTATGAGTGAAAACTATCGCTACACTGATAACAATTTACAGCGGATTTATCAGACCTTCTAACCAAAAAACTGTCTTTCAGAACTGTAATTCTCTGTTGCACTGATTTAATGAGGCGTTCAACTGATGTAGTTAGTATACCTAAAATTAAGAAAATATTGGAAATAAGTATGAATAAAACGATTTCAGTAAAATGGAATGTCGAAACTCACAGATCATTTGCAGTTTCAGTAGAAGAAGCAAGAATAATACAGAAGTTGTAAATTTTTTCAGAATCATTTTGAAAAAAAAAAAAGAAACTGTATTTGATTTTGAAAAAAGTTGTGATAGTAGAACTTGTAATTTCTACAATATTTAATTTGAGTTAATTTAAGGCTTGACTAAACCTCTCTGATTACGGCTTATTTCTCCTTTGTTGAGGCATCGTAATTTAAATTTTTAACCTAGAGTTTTTTATATAAGTTTTCTCAGGTTTTACTGCGTATTTATAATTCTTGTAAGTGAATGTAGAGTGGGTTGAATAGATAATAAGTTAGTTTAGGTAATAAAAAGTAATAAAAAGTTAGGCAATAGGTAATATGTTCGTTAAAGAATAGATAATAAAAAATTCATAAGGTAGTTAATTGTTTTAAGTCGGAAAAAAATATATGTTTATACAGTATCTGTTCTGTGTAAAGAAAGAACTGAGACAGCGTCTTATTTCCATTCCATTAATCATTTAGAATGGGATCTCCCCAAATCACAAAATTGTCAACTATCACCTGCATTTTTACATCCGTTTTTATCGAATCTGATATTTGGTTTCTTTGATTTTTAATTGGAGATCAGTTTTTAGTTTCACCGGTTTGTTCTCTCAGATAATAACTCTAGGACTGAGCATTTTATAAAATGTTCTACATGTTAAAATGCGTTTAACAGATGCTTTATTGCGCCTTGAGATGCTTCGATTAAGATAGCTAATTTTTACTCGACAAGTTTATTGTACAGTAAAGTACAGCAACAGGTAAGCCACTCTAAAAGGTAAAAACTCTAAAAGCTTATATACATACACTAAAAAAACATCAAAAAGGTTTTATAGAGCAGTCGTAACAAATTTCTTGAATAAGTTCTTCTAATTTCTAAGACCTGACATTGCCAAAAGTAAATCCTCATTAAGTTGATGCTGATAAAAAACTTTTTTTACAACGATAGTGGTGCAGAAACAAACTTTTTAAAACCTTCAGCAATTAAATTTTCAACTTACCGAAATCTTACCAAACCTTTGTAGGGGAATAATAGGTATTTTTTGCTGCACTTTTTTATCGGTGGGAGAAAGACAATGCTTATTACTCTTACGTTTCATTGCTTTTGCTTCAGCCAATTATTTCTGAATAAATAGTTGAGAGTGTTTTTAAAAACAAAAGAAAATCAGGCAAAATTTTTTAAATTATTTCTTTAGCTTCATGACTTTGCTTTAGATGTTTTTTTTTACAAACTTCTGCAAACTAAACAGACTTATTTTTTGCTTTAAAAGCTGGTAAAATTTTGCGTGAATAGTTCTTTCTGGTGCTCTCATTCTGTTTTAAATTTTATTTATTTAAAGTTTTGTTTAAGGTAAGATAAATCAGTTTTCTGAATTACTAGTTGATAATATGCCCAAGTTTTAAACACTATTCTGTAAAATAATAAAAAAAAAGAAAAAAAATTTGAATTGTTGAGTTTTTTCTTCTAAGTTCTCAGAAAAACGAACTGTTATTGCTACAAATTGTTCAAAGTATTTGATCACAACTTTTATTGTCTGATGCATTAGTGCTGCTTGTAAAATCTATAAAAGTCTGAAAAAAACGAATAATCAGGACTTTCTTCAAATAGTAGAAAAGAAATGTGAAGTGTTTTGTAATGTGGATAAAAAGAAGAATTAACTATTGACGTAGAACGCAAATAAATCAGAATCGTGTTCTGGAACTTCTGCTGCAACCAAGTGTCATCGAAATACTGAGCAACAAAAATTGTTCTGCTGACTAATTTGCTGAATAGAATACAAAAAGAATTTGTCAGGCTGATATATAAGCTCTTAGATGACAAAGTTTTAGCAAAGTTTTGACAAAGTTTTTAATAAAAGAAAATTGCTGTAAAAATCGCGAAGATCAAAAATGTGGAAAAAGAAGGATCAAAATGAAGAAAAAAAAGAGAGAAGAAGGAACAGCGGAAGAAGTGGTTCAATTAGAAGAATGTGGCAGATTGATGAACAGAAATATTTATCTACTAAAGATAAAAACTGTTCTTTTTTTTCTATTTATTGTCCTCAAAATTATTTAGTTGAACGGTAAACACAGCACCATTAGTGTCATAAAAAACTAATTTATATTTTTTTAATCTAGTATTTCAAAGTTCAGTCTTTTTTCCAGAATTGAAGAAAAAAAAGAATTGAAAACATTTTTTAAGAGACATAAATAAATAGTACCAAATAGCTCTATTTCACCCTTTTTCCTATTTTTATTTTATTACTTTTTTACTGCATTAAATAAGCGACTTAAGATTGAAAAAGAAAAAGTTTTCCTTAATTGCAATAATTATTTATTCAATTATTTTTTACAGACGACATTCAGTGTTATTTTAATGAGAAAATTTTTGAACTTCAGATAGATGTTTCATCGCTTACAATTACTGTTACAATTAAACGACGAAAAGAAAAAAAACAAAACATAACAGAAGGAAATCAAGGCGTAATCAGAAAACTACTTAATGTATTTTGCAGTTTTTAGATCTTGAAATAAAAAAATGAATAAACTTTAAATTATTCCTACTTTGACAGTTTTACTAAACAGTATATTAACAATTAATATAATATTTATTTTAGAACTTTTTTTTAATTCAGAAATGAGAGGTTTTTACGCCTAAAAACTGTTTTGCAGTACAGAATTTACTGCAGATTATTATAATATGTGAATATAAAATAAAAATATTTCTGTTCAAGTGTTTTAATAGCTAAGTTACTATTTGAATCAACCGACGAATCATTCTGATTGCTTGTTCGGCTTATTGCCGATTGAAGAGAGTGAATTTGTAACATCTGCTAAGTATCAAGATTTTTATTCTAAAGTAATCTCATTTTTTGTGAGAAATTAGACAATAAAACTGAAGGTATTAACATTGCTTCGTGTGTTTTATTTCTGGTTCCGCGTTATTCTAAAACGTTATCACAGGAATTAAATTTTGTGCTACTGATTTTCACCATGGAGCAGGTGGTCAAATTATAGACAAGTGCAGATCTGAGGTAGCGTAAACATCTCCCAACTTTACAGTAGGTACAGAATCAGAGCAGTGCGTCTGAAATTACAAATGAAATCTATATTGAGCATTACTGACGAAGAGTGTAGTACTGTAATATAAAAACGTTGAAAACTGTGACACTATGAGCATCGCATTTTTTTATCGATAAAAACACATTGCATTAATTACAGAAATAAAAACTAAAAATTTACCTCATAAAATAAACGTTCACTTTTCAAAATTCCGTTCTCGCCTTTGAACACATTGAGGATTTCAACCATTGCAGTGTTATTTTTTGGTATCATAAAATGTACGTTTCTTCTGTAGATTGCAAAAATGTCTGGATCCCACTCAAAGTCTTCGTCAGGATTCTAAAAAAATTGCTAACTGTTCTCTGTGAAAGTAATCGTTATTCTTTATATAGAATTGCTGGCAGAGTCTTTATGGCAATGTTCTGATTTGAGAGAACTGTACGTCTACTTATCAAATTTCTCTCTCATTAGGTCTGAACAGCAATTTGTCGCATTTTTTGGCATTGGTCTCGTTAAGTGAACTTACATAATACTTTTTGCAAAGTTCAAATAATAGAGCTTTGACAATATTTTCTGAGGTGGCGTACAGCGGTCCAACCAGTAAGCGCTTCAAATATCCACCACTAACCTCTTGGATATGCCCATAGCCGACAACATTATTCTTAAAGAAGCACTACACTTGAAAACAGATTAATATTTAAGAGTAAGAATGGTGTGAAAAATAATCATTGAATAATTTTTATAAAATATTTAACATTTTTATTTTGTTTTACGATATAAAAAGTTGAACATTTTTACCGCATCTTAAAAGTTTAAGAAAGTAATAAAAAGGAAAAATATTTGGTTGACAAAGTGTCGAATTTCATGCAGAAAAATTCCAGACTGGTCATTACTAATTATAGAATTTTATTTAAATTATTCACAAACGCAGTTATTTTGGTGCTTCTTGAAGAAGCTAAAAGTTTTTGTTACAATGCTTTCTCTCAAAATTGTTTCTGAACTGCTGGAGAAGACGACTTTTTTTTCAATCTTTTCTCTTAGCATCTATTCAAACCCTGACAGTAGAATCCAACGCTACAACTGTTTCTGAATTGCAATGTTTCATCCACTCAACAATCCAACTTTCTCGATGATAACCACAAAGTTCGTTATCATAACGGTATAATGCAAATGTTTCAGATGCAGATAAATCATTGAAGGCTTTTAAAGTTATATCACTTTCGTTCTGTAAAAAGGCAAATAAAAGAGGCAAACAGGAAAACTGCTTATAATAATTCTTTAACAGTTTAGCAAATATCTGCTTTCTAACAAATCATTAATTTTATTACAAGTTTTTAGCTTCTAAGTTTAATAGTTCAATAAAATTTTTTTTTCTTATTTTTATTATTCTTCTTCTCTTATACAACATTGTTTTTTCAATAATTCTTTTGGTTTTTGATAGTCGAACAAATTGAGAAGAAGGTTCATTTTCAGTTACATTAACCACTTCATTATCAAAAAGCAAACTGTTGATACACTAGGTAATTTAGTTAAAAACCAAAAAAAGCTTCGTTTATTGCACATAAATTTTAAAAGAAAGAGCCGAATATTTCATCTTTGTCATATTTGTTAGCTAAACTAAAATTTCGATTTAAAAGTTAAATTACAGTAAAAAATATCTTGAATTTTCTGTTTATTTGTTAAATTGTGTCTACATATTTCATTAGTTTATAAATTGCAATTGAGTAAAAAATATTAAAGATTTTTACCAGTCAACAATTACGAAACATTTTTTGAACTATTCTTTAAGAAAATAATCTTTTTTAAATTGTTATCAATAAAATAACGCTAAAAAATAGTGTTTTTTAGTATCTGTTTAGTTCACTGTTTAAATTATGTGTTTAGTTTTAGCTGATAAACAATTATTAGCGTTTCCAAATACCTACTTTTAAATCTAAGTATCCAGACGGATTCTGTAATGTATAGTGAATGAATTGCCATTTTGGTGGTGCAATGCTTAAGCCAAATCGAACACATTTGTTTGCGAGGTGTGACACTGCAATTGCTCAGTTCAATACTTTCTTCACTTTTTTTCTTTACTTTTCGTACTGTTCAATTTTATCAAATAATTGAAAAAAGTGAGAGAAAAATAGAATAGTCAAAAAAAAAA